TCTTCAACATATCTACATTAATATCTACGACGATCTACGATGGAGACTCCCTTCTCTCTTTTGACAAAGCGCTTGCTGTTCTCGGGTCAGTGGGCGCTGGTCCCAGTTCGAGGTTTGCAAGGATTTGTCCATCCAACGGCCAAGAGCCCAAGCTGCCTAGAATGAAACTTGGCGATTCTGAGGCATTGGCCACAAAATGCCACTAATTCAGGCATTTTTGGGATCTGAGCTTAACTCCTAAATTAGAGTGTCTCATCACTTTACAGCTTGATGCAGCATGTGGTAACTCGTAGTGAAACAACTTGCAAATCAGCTGGCAAAATCAGACCATGGAGTCGAGTTGCGACTGCTTGAAGACCAGGCTGATTGCCCAAACCCCAATCAAGTCGCTGCAAATCCAACCAGTTTGACTGATCAACTCCTTGCGTCAGGCAAATTCTTCGGGACAGGCAGGCCCCTTCAAGTCCAACATGTTTCTTTGCTAATTGTGCTTTGTATGCCGAGAGATACAACGAGATTGAAAGACATTGAACAATTGAACAACCCAGGCCTGGTAACAAGCCGACCTCTTCGAGTCTTCGCGAATCCTCCTTTGGGCTGAAGACCAGGACTTCGTGCTTGCCCGTCAACAACTTCCGGCACCAATCCAGTGTTGACTCACAGGGCGGCTGCACCATGTCGATCAAAAAGACCTAAAGCAAGCTGCAGCCAGCTGTTTTGATATATTATATAACTATAACTTTATTACATAACTATCATTGCCAAACTGATGAGGTCTGAGACTTGTGGACGCTGCCTGTGTCATCTGTGTCTTCCAAACATTTGCAAGAGTGCGTAATTGGAGTCATGGTCAAACAATCACAATATATTATCATATATTATCTATAATCATCAATCATCTAAGCAGTATTAACTCAAACTGTGCTAACAAACATAAGCACAGCATGCCATAGCACTGTTGGAGGCTGCTTTCGGACAGAGAGTGCCAGCTGCAGAAGCGACAGCGGCCTAGGGTCCTGCCATTCCTGAGACTCTGAAGAGCAGAGCAGCACATTTCATCCATTAAAAGAAACGGCCTATACTACACATGAAAGATCGCGGAAATAAGCGTCTGGCTGCATCCACTGCAACACGCAGCTCTCGACTCTTCAAAGCTTCAGCAGCGTGCTGAGCCAGAATGGATCCGCCTGATGGCTGGGCCGATTTTATCTGCAAATCTGATGTTTTTTTTGACCATGTCCGGCAAACCCTAAACTCCCCACCACCACAGATCAAGTTATATAAGTTGTAAGCCATGGAATTTGTATATTTTTGAGTTCATTGCCAAAGGCGAGGCGGACGCTACCTTGTTCTCCATTTCCTGAACTTGATTTGATCACTAATCTCGTGTTCCAAGGTCGTACCTATGGCTTTAATGTGTATATACGTGTCTTTTCCAAGTATTCAATTTTGATCTACTCCCATCGAACCTCATTCGTGTACATGTGTGAACATGAACACTGCTACTCATATGCAAATATAGTTATATATATAAATATATACGTGTGATAATAATTGATAATATATATATATGTATGATTATGTATGTATGTATGTATGTATGTATGTATGTATGTATGTATGTATGTACAGTATGTATGTACAGTATGTATGTATGTATGTATGTATGTATTTATGTATGTATGTATGTATGTATGTATGTACAGTATGTATGTATGTATGTATGGATGGATGGATGGATGGATGGATGTATGTATGTACAGTATGTATGTATGTATGTATGTATGTATGTATGTATGTATGTATGTATGTATGTATGTATGTATGTATGTATGTATGTATGTGCAGTATGTATGTATGTATGTATGTATGTATGCATGTATGCATGTATGCATGTATGCATGTATGCATGTATGCATGTATGTCTATGTGTCTATGTATGTATGTATGTATGTATGGATGTATGGATGTATGGATGTATGGATGTATGGATGTATGGATGTATGGATGTATGGATGTATGGATGTATGGATGTATGGATGTATGGATGTATGGATGTATGGATGTATGTATGTATGTATGTATGTATGTAATATATATATATATATAATTAAATAACAATGTAATAATATATATATATATGAATTATGATAATGTACATTAACATATTTTAACATAGCTAGTGCCAGTCGAGTGCCATAATGCAAAGCACCAGCAGCTGCGCACTCACTCTAAACTCCAATTGCTCGTCTGCTCTCCGGCCTTTCTCAGCATCAACCCAATGAATTTCTTCCTGCATGGGTGTAAGCAAAGGCAAGCGCAAACCACCGACAGATGCGCCAACTCTGGCGTCTTCCGTCGGCTTATTCATGGCGAAGCAACGATATGAGGGTGATGGCTCAAGGATCTTGAATTTTGAACAACTACTGGGAACGTTGTGAGATGTGCTGTTCTCACTACAACTCCAATACGCTTTCGCAAATCCAACGACAGAAAATCATAGTCAGTCAAAAAATAGAAGAAGCATACACTAAATCTATCCTGGATTCGGAGATGTGTTTTGGTTTGTCTCCCTCAGCTTCTGTAAGATCAATGCATTGCTCAGGCTACTTGCTGGGCAAGCTCCTAAGAAGTATACTGATGTATACTGTATGTCTGGCCTTTCAAGTCGGCTGTGCTTGTGCCAAGAATTGCCAAGCATTGTTTTCCTGGACAAGTCCTCCAAAGCAGCTGGCGATCATTCAAAGGGGTGCCCAAATTGTGCTTGTCAGTCGCACTTGTTGCACTTGTTCGACTCCCTGATGCTCGTGAAGTGGTGCCAGCATGTGCCAGCATCGAACATACTTTTTGTGTCGTCGGCTCTAAGGCATTGACTGTACAAGCGATCAATAGATATCAATATATATATATATATATCAATGATATCAATGGTAGATTGGCCAATCTGGCCCCCATGTGAAGGATAGATCGGATAACAGCTAGCAACAATCACAGCCGTCAATGCCCTTCAGGCACTTCAGGCATGGTCCATGGCAAATTTCGAGAGCTCTTGTCCCAGCATCGCAGACTTTAGCCGCCGGTCCCGCTCTTTGTCTCTTGAGCTCTTGCGTTTGGATTCGGCGAAGTTCTGAGTCTCTTCTGGCTTGGTTAGCCTCTGCCACCTCTTTTGCCGTGCATCGGTTCCAGGATCTCGTGAGGAATCCGCCCCATGCTTTTTATTGTGCCTCGCACTGCGGCTGAGATGCGACTTTGAATATCCCCCGTTCTTGTCCCGCAGCTGCCACTCTTCTTCCTCTTCCAGGTACTCCGCATAGTCTCCATCAGACTCATCTGAGCACCAGCAATCAAAATGATCAAAATAGTAGAACAACTGTTGGTTGTTTTCATAGTCACAGCCGTATTTGGCAAAGAACCTGGCCATCGTTTCCAAGACTTGCTTCTCTTTTTCCTTCTGCTGGGCAAGAATCAGTGCAACCAATGCATTAACTCCAAAGGGCTCAAGAGAGATGAGACTTTCCACCGCTGCTTGACGCACCTGCCACTTGCGGCTGCGCAACCCGTCTTCCACCATAGGGTGAAGCAAGTCAAAGACCGCCTCTAGCTGGAAACGTGCAGGCCGTCCGTCCTGGGTCTGAAGATGTTGCCATTCACAGAACCTCCGCCGCAAGAACTGCACCATCGACACTGACACTTCGCACGTTGCAGCTTCAACTGAAGAGTCCGGATCATCCAGACCTTCCTGCCATCCGGCCCATTTCGGCCAGGAGGCGTCCAACTTTCTGGCAATGTCCCTACAAGCCTCTACAATGCCGGCATCTTCTGCCAGCTCTGCTTCCAAATTGATGCGCTCACCAAAACTGAGGAATTGGAGAATCAATTCGTCCCTCAAAACTAATACGGGCTGGCTTCCATCTTCAGCTGAGAATACGGGGATACGACTCACCAAGAACGAAGCAGCGGTCTTTCGGATATCCGCAGATGGATCGAAAAACGCTTCACAAATCAAGGGCAAACTAAAGCGGTTGCGCTGAAGCTCTTCTGGGGGAGTTGCTGGGTTGTCTTTGTCCTCCAGCAATCCGATGATGGATTTCATCGCAGTCAGGCGGGTGCTAGGCAATTCCGACATAAAGAAAGCCGCTATGGCCTTCTTCGCCCTTGACATGATGGAAACATGCCCAAAGCGCCCGAGTGGCAGGCATGTAAATGCCAAAATGTCAGCAGCATAAGCCGCACCTGCCTCTTCTAACCACGAAAGTGCCTCAGCAGCTGCTGCACGAATTCCCCGCTCCTCATTCTGTAAGATTTTCGCAATTGCAGCAGCATGAGGGGCAGCAACTCGGCCCATCCATGAGAGCTGGCTTAGTGCAGCAACTTTCACTGAGCTGTCCTCGTGCTCCAAGCACTGTGCTACTGCTGCTGCAAGAGCATGTGTTGCTGTTGTGGATTCTGCCAGCTTCAACTTTTCCACAATTTCCTCTGGCTTCTGTGGCCAACTGTTCACGACAGTGATAATGCTTCCATCCTCGAGCCGAAGTTCGGCCAAGTAGTGCTTGCTGTAAATCTCCCTGCCTTCACAGATCAGTCTCTGTACAACTCTGGGGATCTTCAGCGCTCTCTCAATGGCTACATGCAATTGATCCACACGCCCAGATGCCAATGCTGCAATGGTGCAACTTTGGCCTGACGGTGTGGACACTGTGAGGGACACACGGCCAGGCAAGGGAGAGGCCATCAGCAGCCAAGGAAAGTTTGCAAAGCTCCAAACTCCAAACGCGTTTGAGCCTGTTTCTCGTCTGCGTTGGCTGAAGAGGTTGAAAGTATCTGAAACTCAAACATTTGCCAGTGACCATCGCTCATTTCGACTAACTGGGCCCATATTCACATGAAGTAAGACCCATGCAATGGATGTTTCTAATTGATTTAAATCTTGTCATGTTACTTTTTAAGTCAGTGTGGTTCGGAGATGGCCAACGGCTTGACCAATGTTGACCAAACATGTACACGACGATACACTACGTCACTACGATGCTCCAGACTGTTGTGGGCACGAACTGTGACGCCGGTGGAAAACATGCCTGACTTTGCAGGACGCTATCGGTCCAATCGGCTCCTTTGTGAGTTCTTCGATTCTTAAAAACATAGCAGTGATTGCTATCACCCTTCAGTTGTCCTTCTCACCTTTGGAGAAAGCTACCAAAAAGCTCTGCATTTTCCTCAGCTCTGTAGAGTTCAAAATCATTCATACATCACTCATGTGGGTGCAGCTGAGTTGCTTTCTTGAGTTACTTGCATGTGTAGTCCAACCACAATTCGGGAAGAAAAAACATCCAAAAGCCCAAGGCTCTCTGACAAAATACTCAGACATTGCAGCCAATAGATTAATTTGTGGATGGGTCAGTGCCTTAGCAAGCGACATGCTGACCAGCGACCCCAAAGTCTATCCATGTCTCTGCTGACCTGCACATTTTTTTGCATGAACAGTCAAGGCGTGGACAGTTCCTGAGCCTGCATTCTGGAACACTATTCTGTAGTGCGGGAAGCGCTTGAACTCAGAAGTAAAAAACCTGAGCTGTTCGTGCTATTCCTTCACTGAGCAGCTGCGAAAAGAGTTGCCTCATGCTGGCAAGTCACGCATGAAGATTGTCGGATGTGTCCTTGGGAAGCTTGCTTTCGAAGTCCCTGCATTTCTCATTGTACACTACCAGCCTCAGTGATTCTCAGGGATGCTGCCAGCAATGGCAGTTGTGAGACATTGAGCAAACCGCGGATGGTTCGGGGCAAAAGGGGCCAGTTTATTACCCTGACTTGCTAGGAAAAGTGATGGGCCATTGACATCCATTGACATCATCTTGGAACTTGGAACGGCATCAGAAAAGACGGGGAACCTGGCTGCACAGTCCAAACTTGACAACAAGCCAATTCTGGATTACCATGGATTTCCAACAGGTTATACAGGTTCCCTTTCGAAGCAGTGCGGCTAACCCAAGTGCGCATCAAGAGGCAACTGCACACCGTAGCCGCCCTCAATACCCCACCAACCTCGAAAACAAAGCCAACTCAAAAGAAATGCTGCCTACCTACTTTAAAAACGCAGTATGCATGGTATGTTGCAACCAGAAACGATCATACAACGTAACATCATACAACGCTCATCCTTGTGCCAACTTCAGCAACACACACTTTAAACCTCGGTGGAATGCTGAGGTGCTGTTTGGGAGAACTTTGAGTTTGCGCTTTGCCAGCGCCGGCTTCCCTTGTCTCTTCAAGGATTGCGGTTGGCAAAGCAAAGGCAAGAGTTCATCCTTGCTGAAGACCTGCACGTGAGAATTGCAAGATTTTGTTCCTGATAAAAAACGCCTTCGTAACGACTTGAACGCAGCATCACAGAGTCTCATGAGGTGTCATGCATCAGCCACAGCCTGATTGCGCGTCAGGAACTCACCAATGTCATCCTCCAGGATGAAAAAATCTTTGCAAGGTTTAACGTCTTTGATCAGAACTAACACTTGTCCACATGCCTACCATTGCCTACCCATGCACTACAAGTACACCGCTGACTCCTTGTCCCAAAAACCAAAGTTTGCTTGAAATTGGTTCTCCAAGCGCTTGGCCACGTCAGGACTCAGGGATGGAACTTTACCTTGTGGCTTGATGCTTCGATAGTGGTTATGCTCGAAAGGCATCGAAAGGCTTCATTGTGACACAGGATGACACAGGGATCCATGCTGTGTCACCTTGCCTGAGCATCTCCATCATCTCCACTTCCATATCTCTGCACTTGGACACCCAAATCACCCAGTAGTGTAAACTGAGGTGCAAAACTCTACATCATCGGGAAGTGCAGAGCCGGTACTCACAACCTGCGGTATACGGTAGTGACATGTAACCACTAGACTGACAGCATCTGATGTGCTAATCAAGTCAGGTAAAGCATGCCATGATTGATCTGGGTGGAGAATCGGCATTTCTTGGCCAAGGATCCAAAACAATTCGTCTTGCCCCTCTCTGCAGCATAGCCAGGAGACCACTGTTGTCCTGAGCAAAACTCAATGCACAATCATTGCTGATGAGTATTCATGATAGGTTTGCGTTGCGCTCTTCTTAAGCTTGGATATTTTTGGATTGAAATTCCGGTGCGGTTCTTTGAAGTGGCGATGCTTGTTGTGGTGATTGAAAATCCCGCTGCGCTTTTCTCCTTTCTTTTTACAAAGATTTGTGATGGAAGTTGAATTGGGGTTGGAACCCCTGATGCTGATGCATGACACCTGGCAGATTTGACTTCGTTCTTCCGACCTCGACATGGCTCAAGAAAAGTGCCTTGCAGCGTGCCCGGGTTTGCTGCTTGGCGATGCTTGGCGTAACTCAGGTTATTGTGAGCCCAAGGTGAACTTTTGGAGCTGTTTGAATGATGATGTCGTTGCCTCTTTATCCGGCCCCGAAATTCGAGGTCGAGAGGGGAAAACGGACATCGAGGAGCAACCCAAAGTGAAGATCAAGCTCGTGGTCTTCCCCCTCGATGGAATGATGTTCGAGGCCGCTTTGAAATTGGTGTAGATGACAGAAGACTGGATGCGCTGATCGAAGAAGACAGGGTCAGAGCTTCGTCGGCCTGTTTGGCCTGAAGTCAGACGCCTGACTTTGAATGAGCCTGAAAGTCGCAGCCAAGCCAGCCAGCTGTTGGTCATGGACAGGCCGGTGGATCTTTTCTGCGGCGTTGCATAGCTTTGACTGACCCTCGAGCTGGTGCGATGGGTTTGGGGCAGCTACAAGATCCGCTTCGGCAATCTTTTTGAATATTACAGCATGCTCTAGGCCGTCAGCTCCAGAGCAATGTCCACTTGGTCCACTCCTTCACGACGATCAAGCAACCCAACGACATCAGCATCAGCAGGTGAGAGGGAGGATACTACACCCATGGTGATGGAGTTGCAACGCCACCATCTCCCCATGATGGCATATCGCAAACAATGCAGACAGGGGTGGCGATTGAACGTCTTCTTCCTGATGATCTTCGCGGAGCCGGCCAAGGGGATCCGCCTGAAGCCACTGTGGAAAGTGGCGATGGAAGTTTCGAGCTTGTGGAAGGCGATATGGTCGACGTGTGAGTGCGAATCGCACCAGGGGCAGTGTGGTGATGAAAATCCCGCTGCGCTTTTCTCCTTTCTTTTTTCAAAGATTTGTGATGGAAGTTGAATTGGGGTTGGAACCCCTGATACTGATGCATGACACCTGGCAGATTTGACTTCGTTCTTCCGACCTCGACATGGCTCAAGAAAAGTGCCTTGCAGCGTGCCCGGGTTTGCTGCTTGGCGATGCTTGGCGTAACTCAGGTTATTGTGAGCCCAAGGTGAACTTTTGGAGCTGTTTGAATGATGATGTCGTTGCCTCTTTATCCGGCCCCGAAATTCGAGGTCGAGAGGGGAAAACGGACATCGAGGAGCAACCCAAAGTGAAGATCAAGCTCGTGGTCTTCCCCCTCGATGGAATGATGTTCGAGGCCGCTTGGAAATTGGTGTAGCTGACAGAAGACTGGATGCGCTGATCGAAGAAGACAGGGTCAGAGCTTCGTCAATGCCTGTTTGGCCTGAAGTCAGACGCCTGACTTTGAATGAGCCTGAAAGTCGCAGCCAAGCCAGCCAGCTGTTGGTCATGGACAGGCCGGTGGATCTTTTCTGCGGCGTTGCATAGCTTTGACTGACCCTCGAGCTGGTGCGATGGGTTTGGGGCAGCTACAAGATCCGCTTCGGCAATCTTTTTGAATATTACAGCATGCTCTAGGCCGTCAGCTCCAGAGCAATGTCCACTTGGTCCACTCCTTCACGATCAAGCAACCCAACGACATCAGCATCAGCAGGTGAGAGGGAGGATACTACACCCATGGTGATGGAGTTGCAACGCCACCATCTCCCCATGATGGCATATCGCAAACAATGCAGACAGGGGTGGCGATTGAACGTCTTCTTCCTGATGATCTTCGCGGAGCCGGCCAAGGGGATCCGCCTGAAGCCACTGTGGAAAGTGGCGATGGAAGTTTCGAGCTTGTGGAAGGCGATATGGTCGACGTGTGAGTGCGAATCGCACCAGGGGCAGTGTGGTGATGAAAATCCCGCTGCGCTTTTCTCCTTTCTTTTTTCAAAGATTTGTGATGGAAGTTGAATTGGGGTTGGAACCCCTGATACTGATGCATGACACCTGGCAGATTTGACTTCGTTCTTCCGACCTCGACATGGCTCAAGAAAAGTGCCTTGCAGCGTGCCCGGGTTTGCTGCTTGGCGTAGGCAGCTCACTTTAAAATCATTGGATTTCCATGGCGAAGTGCCTCAGAGATCTATCAGAGATCTATGCCAATACTGGCGCCAAGTGATGCCAAGTGTCGATGTTTCCACCATCACCGAGGAGGTATGTGCCTCTGTTCGCCACCGATTCCAGCAGAAAAGCTGCTGCCCAGTTCATCCCTCCCTTGCCGCCCTTGCATCCCAGCTGCCCTTGACTGCTTGCAACAGCAACATGTTTTAAGGCGCGAACTCGTGCTCTCTGCCTCAAACTGTGGAGATGGAATGGCCCAGTAATCTGACCTGCAAGTCTGATGGAACATGAATACCATATGAATTTGAACACAATATGAATTTCATATGAATTTCAAATGAATTTCATATGAATACCTGAATACCATGGAAGACGGGCTCGCGAACAGCATGTTGCAATGTGTCATGACCTGGAAGGAAAACAAGACTCGGCAATCTATGCAACCATGCCTTGGGCTAAGCTTTGCAGGATTCAAGCTGCCATGGAAAGGGCCGTGTAGAGGCCTCCCAAATTTCAGAGCATCAGAGCAAAACAAGTACAAACTACAAACGTGCTAATTCGTGCTACATTGCGCTCATCTTGTGCTTTCTGACAGCTTTGCGGTGATGTTTCTGTCTCCCATTGAAGGCACTCAGAAGGTCTCAGAGCAGCACGGAGGACACCCCTGCACTGCTCACGCCCACTGCCTGCATTT